TTCTACATTTGAGGCCAACAAAATAGAAAAATAATGACACTTCAATTACAGACAGGGAAATGAGGTGAGACAACATTTCTGTTTTCCTGGTGAGGAGAAACACTTTCTCTGAGATTGTCAGAATAATTTTGAGTGGAGCTAGGTGAATACCATACACCAGGTATCTTCTTTTCACACACCACCAGCAATCCAGTGGCTCCTGTGGCAACACAGAGATGCCTCACTCGTAACCAGTCATGTTATGCTACTTAATCTACATGCAGAGATCTTGCCTCAACACCATTAAAAAGAAAATGCAAAAAAAAAGGGTATGACAGAGGAAGAACCATTAAAATTGTATCAGATCATCATACTAGAGAGTGAAAGCAGACCTAATATGAATTCTGAAAAGGCTCATGAAGGGTCTCTACAGGAAAGATATTTCCTGGACAAATGGGATTCACCTAACTCTATTTTCATTCTTCTGTAAGGATGAAGCTCATGATCAGGTGGAAAAACTCAAAGCACCATGATAAGGACTTGAGCAAAGGAACACAAGTTCACCTACTAAATAAAGTAATTTTTAGACCAAATCTTAAAAAAACAGTTCAAACTGGGAAGAAAGGCAGGAAAAAAGTACAGGTGGCAGAGCAGTCATTGGGTTTGCTTTTTTTTTTTTTAACAATCCTATTATGAAATCAACAACCTTTTCTTCACAGATCATAGGCTTTTTTTTCTTGACACTATTTCTCTTTTGTAATATTGCTATTTCTGAAATAATTATTATCATCCTTATGATATAAAGATTCAAGACTGATGATTCAAGACTACCAAGGTATGTTCAACAGATGAAGTTAGTTAGAACATGGGTTCCAGATATTTAGATCTGAGTTCTGTATTGTGTAAAAGCAACCCCAAGACCACATTTCACATAAATGTAAGGCAATGGCAAGTTAATGCTCTGCTTTGCCACTCCATAATAAACAAACTCTGGTGACAAGTGATTGCTTGTAAAAATCCTTTTATTCCATGTTCTTTTCCACTAAAATCCCACTAGTTCCATATAGTGCAAGGTTTCCCACCATCATTCAGATCACATCTGATTAACTCAACAGACAAAGGACTTCAGCTGAAAGATGAGCCTCAACTCCATTCTCATTACGTTTCCAGGGCACAGTCACACAATCTGGATGAAGAAATCCTACCATAATGTTGCAGCATTACAATACATTACATTACATACAGTAGATTTTTGGTGATGTATTTCATCATCTCCAGATGACCAAGGGCCAGCATTGTGCCCTTGCTCCAAAGAAGGCCAATGGTACATGGGGTTTATTAGTCAAAAACATTTGCAGCAGGCTGGGGGAGGTGATCCTGCCCTGGAGGGGCCACAGCTGTGCTCAGCTCTGTGCCCCTTAGCACAGAGAGTGCAGCAAGGGGCCACAAACACGAATAAGGGACAGGAGCAAAGGCTGACAGAGCTGGGACTGTTCAGCCTGCAGAACAGAAAAGCTCAGGACACAATCTCAGCAATGTAGATAAACATCTAACAGAAAGTGCAAAGGTGATGGAGACAGGCTGTGTCCCATGCCAGAGCCAGAGGTAATGGGCACACACCAAAACCAGGAGGTTCCACCCAAACATCAGGACACAGCTTTTCACTGTGAGGGTAACTGAGCCCTGGCACAGGCTGCACAGGGAACGTGTGGAGTCCCCATTTCTGGTGACACCCAAAATCACCTGGACATTGTTCCAGACCTGAAAACTGCCAAAGGTCCCTTCCAACATCAACCCTTCTGTGATTTGCTCTGTGAAGGAAATTCACCTGTGACAGACCTTAGCAGTATAATGAAAAATTCTGTCATCACTTCTGGTGTATCAACACCATCTGGAAACAGTAATGCACCGCAGTTCCTCTCTCTCTCACCCACCTTAGCAGCTGACACTGGAGCTTAAGCTTCACCCAGTGCTGGGGGTTTTGTTTTGTTTTACCATCACCTAGCAAATATCTTCTGTGTCCTTTAAGAGGTCACCCGGTGGGAACACAATTATCAAAATAAGAAAGGACGCCCAGAATTGAATTTAGGGATAAAAAAGCCCTAGCAATAGAGACTCTTTAACCCGTGCTAACTACAAGTCCTAAATACAGGATTTCTCATTGCATTAAAAGAAAACAAATATATATATATATATATGTTTGTTTATATCCTGTGCCTCTTCCACCAGCCAGCCAACTTTTTCAGGAAAAAGCCTTACAGCTGTGCTATTCAGTAAGCTTCCAACATACAAAGGGAAAACGCCATCAGAGGTGTCTCTTCAAACAAAGTAACTCGACCGAGCACCAATTCCTGAGCTTATCCCTCATTTCCAAGCCTGAAGCCAACGCTGTAGCACCCACATTAGGGCCGAACACCTGAACTGCGCGGCTGGGTGAGCCTGCCGAGAACAAAGTGTGCGGGCAGCATCCCCGGGGCCGCGCAGCGCGGCGGGCTCCGTGCGGGAGGGAGGGAGGGAGGGATGACATCATGCGGGGCCGCTCCGGAGCCCTGCCGCAGGAGAGCCCCGGGGGACACGGAGGGACACGCCGTGCCCAGACCCGCGGGGACCCGTTGTGTCCGGCCCCACAGGAGGGACCCGCTGTGCCCGGCCCCACAGGGACCCGCAGGGACCCGCTGTGCCCGGCCCCACAGGGACCCGCCGTGCCCAGACCCGCGGGGACCCACAGGGACCCTACGGGGCCCGCTATGTCCGGCCCGTCAGACCCGCCGTGCCCGGCCCCACACGGACCCTCCGGGACCCGCTGTGCCCGGCCCCACATGGACCCGCCATGCCCGGCCCCACAGCCCCGCACGGACCCGCCGTGCCCGGCCCCGCATGGTCCCGCAGGAGGGACCCTCCGGGACCCGCCGTGCCCGGCCCCACACGGACCCACCGTGCCCGGCCCCTGCCCAACAATGGGCACTCACGGAGCCAATTGTCTCAACAGGACGAGGATTCAGAAGCTGTTTTGCAGCGCAGAAATCAGAGGGAGGGGGGAAAAAACCAGTGCACAATGACCCTTTCATTGAAACAAGAAAGGCTCGCAGGAAGTACAGAGTGTTTCCAAGCCTTATCCAAAAGCCTCTGAAATATAACAGGGGCCTCTCCATTTTTATCAGTGGACACTGGAGGAGGCTATAGCCCAAGACACAGTTTGAAAGCATTATCAGTCACACTATCATGCATTATTAATAACACAACAAACTCAAGAAAACACACCCAAATTCCCCCTAGCTCTTATGCTGTGACATTATTGGAAATTTTCCCCACCTTCTTTTAAAATCTTTTCTCAAATAATGTAAAAATCTGTCTCCCTCATAAACACAAAAATCTCTTCTCCCCCCAGCCACACACCTTGTCACAGGTAACACCATGGTGGAACAGCAGAGAGCAGGATACAGCACACACTACAGTTCTACATACCATAGATAGAGTCCTTGACCAGGAGAGCAAATACAGAAAGAACAGCACGCTCCAGCTTTCAGACCTGCACACTCTGACAGGCTATTTTAAAAAAGGCACTTATATCTTCCAGTTTACTATTAGATAGCTAGCCCAAAGTAATGCACTGTTGGTTTTAAATTGAATTATGTGCAGAGAATTATTCATGTGCCCATCAAGAGCAGGGAGCATTACTGAGTGTGCCTCGCACCACATTACACAAATAGATTTGTAGTAAATTAACCACAAAATTAACATCTTTCTAATTGTTTTTGATCTATAAACTTCATTCATTCTCCATTTAATTAAAAGAAACCCTCACATATCTCTCAATGAAATTGCATTGCATTTTGTTCTCTTGGATTTCTTAAATCAAACTGATACTGTAATTTGCAGTGCCATTGCAGAGCACACTGTTATGCTGCACTCCTCAAGCCTCAAACTGTAGCCTACAATCACTTTAACATTAGACAAACATGAATTCTCTTAGGGAAAGGTACTGCTCAGCACGAGGGACAGGTGAGAAATTTTGTTTGAAGTCACTAAACAAAAAAAGTTTCCACAATAGGCAAAGTTTAGAGGAGCTCACTCAATGCAAGAAGTCAGTTCTAATAACACAAATTCCACTCTACGAGGAACAAACATTTATTTAGTGAGGGACAGCTTAAATGCATCAATGTAAAAAAAAAAAAAAAAAACTTATAAAAGCAAACTAGTAAAAAAACCGAGGCTGGGCGTGAGAGAACGTACTACCGGTTCAGAGCCCAGATACACAGAATCAGTGCTGATGTTAGGTCAGGTTTTCATCACCACATTCCCTCACCGTTCTGAACTGTTAAAGATGCTAAGCCACACTCCGATTTAACTGAGGCCAGTACAATGAGACTGAAGCTGAAGAGAGGAGCTGCTAAAACACAATTTAATAATTTTTAACCACGAAAACATTGCTTTGACACAGTGGTGTGGTCTAGATGGATACGGTTTAGTTGCGGTGTGAACATTCTCACCTAACAGCAGAGTAATCACTTCCTAATCCGATTTCTTTTCGGATACTCCTGCAAGAGAATTCTTATCCCGGGCTACGAAAAGAAGGCAACGCGGAACACGCAAAAGGTTTTCGCTCTCTCCCAAACCCGACTCGTTCAGGGTGCCCGTGTGTCTCAAGCGCCCGGCTGAAGTTGGTACGCGCAGGGAGCGCAGGACATCGCGCTGGGGCTCGGAGCGCCTAAAGCCAGGGCAGCGCTCAGGGCGCGCTCTGCCCAGCCCGTCCCACGGCGCTGCCCGGCCGGGTTCGGGGCAGCTCGGCCACTTGTACCGAGCCCGGTCCGCGCCCGGCCGGCCGCTCCGCATGCCCGGGGAGCCGCAGCGCCCGGGGCTGCCGGCAGGGCACGGGCACCCACGGCAGCGCCCGGACTGCGGGGCAGGGAGGTACCGGCGCGGGCAGGGCAGGTACCGGTGCGGGCAGGGCAGGTACCGGTGCGGGCAGGCAACGCGGCCGGACCCCGCCGCCCCTGCGCCCAGCGCCGCCGGCCACTCACCGGAGAGCTCGTCCGGCTCCAGCCCGGTCTCGGTGTCCAGCCCGCAGATGACGAAGTAGTCGGCGAAGCGGCCGGGTGCCGAGGAGCCGCCGCCGCCGCCGCTCATGCTGCAGGGCGAGGGGCGCGCGGGGCTCAGCGGGAGCGGGGCCGGGCGGCGGGGCCGGGATCTCCGGCTGCGCCCGCCGCCTCCATGGCGGCGCGGGGCGGGCGGCGCCGCGCGGCATTCTGGGAACGGCCCCCGCCGCTCGCGGGGGGGGCGGCCCGGCCGCGCGCCGCAACGCCGCGCCTGCGCCCTGCACGCGGGGGTGACGTCATGCTGCTGGTGCTGGCGCTGCCGCTCGCCGCTGCCGGGGCCGCCTGAGTGGGCCGCCATGGCGGGCGGTCACGGCCGTGCCCCGGGGGAGCCGCGGGAAGGGCTCTGCTCCCTCCGCAGGCACAGGATCAGGGGATGGGGCGGGCTGGAAGGGACCAGAGCCTTGAACTGCCTGCTCAAGCAGGGTCACATGGCACAGGAGTCTGTCCTGACCGTTCGTGGGTATCTCCAGTGAAGGAGACCCCACAAGCTCTCTGGCAGCCCGTTCAGTGCTTGGTCACTGCGCAGTAAAGAGGTTCTTCCTCACATTTAGGTGGAACTTCTGTTTCTTCCTTTGCCTCTTGTCACTTTGCCTGGCACCACTGAGCAGAGCCTGATCCATCCTCTGTCACCTCCACATTGATGAGGTCCCTTCCCAGTCCTTTCTTCTCAAAGCTGAACAGGATCACAGAATCAATTAGGCTGGAAAAGCCCTCTGAGGTCGGGTCCATCCCGCTGTGTCCCGGCCCAGTTCCCTCAGGTTCTCCTCACAGGAGAGGTGCTGCAGCGCCTTGATCAGTTCTGTAGCTCTGCTGGCCCCACTGCAGGTGCTTCCTGTCCCTGGCACTGAGGAGCCCAGAACCAGACACGGAGCCAGGAGGGCCCTGCCAGGGCTGCTCCCCCAGGGCAGGATCAGTGCTGGTGCTCTGGGAGCACCTCTGGGCTCCTGTCCTCCTGTCCCCTCCACTTTCCTGTCCCCACAGCCCTGGTGGCTGGCCTGGCTCCACAGCTTTGAGAAGCAGCTGTCTGTGCAGGGAAATGCTTTAGGGATTGTTTGGCTCTCAGGTTGTTTTCTTTTTCCTATTTGGATTAACATCACTCACATCTCTGTTAACAGCTGGGCTTGCACAGAGTAAAATCCACTCTCCCCTCTGGCTCAGCGTGGAAAGGAGAACAAGCCCTGGGGAAGGATGACCCCAGCAGAGCTGCAGAGGGACAAGTGACACATGCTCTGCCCTGAGAGTGCTTTTTCCCTCTGGCTATAGAGGCGCCTGGGATGGCCTTGCCAGCCTAAAATTAGACCTATAAGCAGTTCCCCTTCCTCTCCTCTCTCAGTTCTCTATTTGTGGCATTTACATCAGAGTCCTTCCATATCTTGTAGGGCTTAGAAGAGGAGAAATTAAAACTTTGCAGTCTTTAACAATTATTATCCAGGACTAACCAAGTAGTTAAGGTTGCATCCATAATGCTGAATCAGTCTAACTTAAAGAGTTAAACTTAAGTTAGTCTGAACTTTTAGTTTAAGAACTAAAGTCTTAAACTTAAGTTAGTCTGAACCAGACTAACTTAAAACACTGCCAAGCATAGGAAACTTCACCTATTTGAGTTTCCATTGCCAAGACAGACCAAGCTGTCTGTAGGGAGTAGAAGCAGCAGCACATGTAAGAAGACTTCACTGACAATGGTTTACAACCTTTTGCAGTACAACAACTAAACTCTTAGGCCACTGTGCCCAGTGAATTGAGGACAGCTGGACATCCTTGTGGGAACCAGGAAAAACTATTAGGATAGCACTGGTGCTATCAATATGTTCACTTGATTGACTGTCTGGCCTTAGAGAATGAGTTACCAATGGAGGAAAGCATTGCTGAGGTTTGACTGAGGGGTCAGTTTTAAAGCACCATTTAACTTGGGAGAAAGATTTCAATAGAGATGGCAGGGTAGCAGCAATATTAGAGCAAAGGGTTTGAGTTTACTCTACAAAAAGCACAGTTAGATTGTGTTGAGCCTGCCTGGTGGTGTGTGGAAGGCACAACAGAGAACAGAAATAGCTAAATCTGGTTGCTCTTACTCTGCTGTGTTCTCTAGCCACTTTTTGCACATTTGTCTTCTCAATCTGCTTTCAGTGTGGCAAAGGACAATGTATTCAGCACGTGGTGAACCTCTTTTAAGTAAGCCTGAACTGCAGTTTAACCCTTAAGACAAAATCCATAGCCTGAGGGTCTCTTCTGACACTTGCAGGAAATTCTGAGGAACCAGCTCAGATATTGGCAGGGGCTTTTTGTCAAATAAAGAGTAAAAGCGAGAAATAAAAAGTTGTTCATGCACCTCACCTGTTCCAGAAATAACCAAGAATTTTGTAAATAATCAGTAAATAATGTTAGATGGGCCACTAAGTAAACAGAGGTTTACCAGAGATACTGTTGAGCTGCAGTATTTAAATGCACACATACCTTGCTATGCAACAGGGTAAGGAACAGGAAATATTTTTTTTAAAGGAGAGTCTCAGACTAAGAAACTCAGATTTGCTTTGAACTGCTATGAGAAATGGACAAGATGGGTAGAACTGTGTGAACCAGAACCAACAAAATGTTAACCCAAATTTTTGCTGTTTTGTCAGATAAATTCTCTGCATTCCAGGACAACTTGCAGGGTAGTCCCTCTCAAATCTGTACCTCCAGCAGATGAACCTGAAAAGTTCGAGCTTTTTCCTCCCATTTTGTCAATTATTCTCTTTTCCACTGTATCTTTTTCCTCCTCAATTATTTCATTTCTGAAATACTCTTGCCTAGTCAGCACACCAAAGAACATCTGTGACATCTACTTCAAAGGCCAGTAGCTTTAATCTGTCAGTCATCCTGACCAATGTTCCCATCATAGGAAACACCCAAAATATGGCAATTCTGTCAGCAGACTTTGCAAATGGCTTACGTGTCCTTGGGTAAAACAACAACACTCTAGACAACATTATGAATTCTTGAAAGGGACCTTTATGATGTTGAGAAAATCTGTGGAATTGTGAATTCTGTGGAAACTAGGATTCTTTAGCCAGAGAATCAGAAACACATATTAGTAAATAGGAAGATATTTAAAAGATTCATTGTCTTTGGCAAGACCATCAATGTTGATTCAGCTGAGGTTTTCTATGGCAAAGACTTGTATTTTCAAGCTCAGACCTTTAAAATAGTCTTTGAAATAGTGAAGAACAGAACTTGATACAAAGATATCTTGAGTATTCTTTATACTACCTAATTCAGATTTACTTTGCCAACAATCCCAGTCATGATTTTTGGAAGAGTTTATTTACTAAGCAATAGGAAAACACAACAGCAAATTACAGTTCCATTCAACATTGCTCAGAGAATTGAAGAAGTCTGCAATGGGGTATTTCTCTTTTTTCTGGGCAGCTGTTTCCCAAGATAAGCTAAGCTTTGAAAAGTAACAGAGCTCAGGGCACAAACAAATTGCTCCAGTTGTCAGGGTGCTGATTGTATGTGATGTCTTCTAATGACTCTGATTAAGACATTTACCCTGGATTCTTTAAGAAAACAAAAATCCAATCAGTGACTCTTATAATTAAAGCAATCCTCTCCAGTCTGCAAAACCAGACACTTGAATCTGGCTGCAACTCATTGACCATGTATCTGGTGTGACATCTTCATGGCAGACTTGTGGAATAGAGCCTGCACACGGGATCAGCTAACACACAGATCCTCACACATCAGGGCACAGCTCAGAGCAGAACTGGCACTTCAGGGGGTGGAACATTTCCTGAACTCCCATGCAGCACTGTCCCTCTTCTCCCCAGCTCCAGGAGCCCACACTATGGACTGAAGCTCAATTTACCAACATCTACAACCCCCAGCTCCCATTCCACGGTGCTGCTCTGCAGCATCTCATCGCCCAGTCTGTCCATACATCCAGGGTTGCTCCATACCCAAGGGCTGGAGCACTTGTTTTTACTAAACTTCATCTGGTTGGTGATTGCCCAGCCCTTGCCATGGTCTCTGCAGGGCCCTCCCTCCTTCCCTCGAGGGAGTCTGCAGCTCCTCCCAATGTAGTACAGTCAGTACAGCAGGCTTACTTGGTGCTGCTTCCAGTCCTTACCTAGCATTCCTTCCAGTCCTGTGTCCAGGTCATTAAAGAAGATATTGAAGAGAATATTGAAGCAGTGAAGTCCCACGGCTGCACAAGAGCAGAATGAAGATGTTGAGAATGGAGCTGAGGACAGAACCCTGCAGAACCCCATTAGTGACAGGGCCCACAGGGGATGTCACCCCATTCACTACAGCCCTGTGAGCCAGTCACTCACCTGTCACACAATGTGCTTACCCAGCAGAGTGCTGGGCATTTTCTCCAGAGGGATACTGTGAGAGATGGTATCAAAAGCTTTACTAACTCTTCTCCATGATTTTATTGGGCATGGAAGTGATATTGACAGGCCTGTTGTTTGCATGGTCATCCTTCTTGCCCTTCTTGAAAACTGGGGCAATATTTGCCAGCTTCCACTAGACTGGGACCTCTCCAGATTCCCAAGATGCCGAAAACATTGAGAGAGGTCTTGTGATGTCACCATCCAGGTCTCTGAGCACTCTTGGATGAATCCCATCAGGCCCCATAGACTTAGAGAGATCCAGCTGAAGAAGCAAATCCTGCACAAGTTCAGGGTTGACTGGGAGTTTATCTTTCTTACAGACATGAGGAATCAGTTTAACACAGAACAAAGAGTCAAACACAGAATGATTTAGTGATCTGCTCAAAATACTTCTCCATGACATGGAATTCTTCCAAGTACAGTTAACACTGCAAATTCCAGGTTTTACATACAACTCCTCAGGGCAAGGTTGTAAAAGAAAAATCAGGAGTTATGAGTGTAACATTAGATCTCAATTCTGAAGCAGAATTTTAAAAGCTATTTCCCACTGAAGCATTCCCAGCCCTCTTGAGAGTCTAGGAACCTCTAAATTCCCACAGCTGCACAGGAGCAGGATCCTCTGTGTTTGCAAGACCATCTACAGAAAGGAGCTTTTATGAGCTTCTCACATATACACCAGTCACTAACTGAGCTCTCATCATCCAGACCCAGATTCTTCCTTGTGCACTATAAAACAAGGAAATGGGAATTACCACACTAGGTGGAGCATTTTTAAGAACTGGAAGGGGAGTTATGGTATGTTAGTGAATGTATGATGCCATTATTTATATTAATTGCCAGTACTAAAAGGCTGTAACTTCTTTCAGTTTGGGTGACCTGGAGCTATAAAGCCACCAGCTGAGAGTTATAGATTCTGTCATTGAAAGACATCAATTGGTCATAAAATAGTCAAGAGTATTTACTGCTCTTTGTTGGAAATTTGAAAAAGTTGTTCTGGATCCTGCTTTCCCATCAAAACCCTTTTCCATTTCCCCCTTAGCACTGCCATACTCAACTACAGGGCTCCCAAACTCCACATGACAGAAATTCTCAGAAATACACAAAATCTTCAGCTGCCTAAAAACAAAAGATATCTTTTGACTTTGCATAACAGCATCAGTCACTAACAAAAGCTTCTAATTTTTGACTTTTACTTCTTTTGTCTTACCTTTCAGCAAGTTTACTATACAAAGAAGAAAAAGCATTCCATTAAGTGGCCTTGACAGAATATTAAGGGAAGGTGAATGAAGCTGCAGTAACTTTGGCACCAGGGTTTTCCACAAGGGATTAATGAAAAAAAAGGGCACTTTGTGAAAATAGATGTATTTGAAGAGACAGAAGTTAGACCCAGTTGCCTTCCAGTACAAATCAGAAAAACTTTTAAAAATTACTGCTGTATGTGAGAAATTAATTTCAGAAATAAAAGGAAGTCAAATTTACCTATTTATTTTGAAATAAAGGTAGAAACAGAATTAGTCTCATCTACAGAAGTAATCAGCTCAGTTTAATTTTTAATCAATCATTAAAAATCCCATTTAAGAAGAACTCAGCCCTTTAAAACAGGTTAATAAAAAATTCAGCTTAGTGGGAAGTTCAGAATGCTTCATTATAATAAAAAATACAGTGCTTCAGATTTTATATAACAGCTTTATTATCAAATGGCAAGAGACACTTAGTAATGATGTCATGCAGGTATCACAAAAAAGCTTCCAAAAGATAACCAGGTCACCTAACAGCTCAAAAATCCCTTGCAATTAAAAAACAAAGCTACATCTTTCTGATGTCCTGGTTTGTTTCATGGTAGCCACTGTTTTTGTGTCAAAATGTTATGGCTATCTCTTGGATCACTTGCTGGATTCCCTAAAGGAAAGAGTAGGCTAGAACAGTACCCACAGCACAGTGCTCTTTTTGCTTTCCACAAGGCCTGCCTTACTCTGCACAATGCTCACAAGTCCTCATGGGATAGGGAAGCACCTCAGGCTGCTGGCAGCTGAAGATAAACACAGAAGGGATGGGTTAAAAAAATCTTGAAGTTTTGCAAAAGTAAAGAACCCTATTTTGAACCTTTTTAAGGTCTTAAGGCTTTTAGTTATTGTGATGGGAGGCTGGTCTTGTGGCTGAAATACAGCAGTAACCAAGCCTGATCCCATCTCCATAGTGACACAGAACCCAGTGAAAATGTCAAGTGATAGCACAAGTCACATCAGATTGAAAGAGAGTTCAGCTCCTGCTTTAGCAACAAGGTTCCACCAAAACACTGGCATGGGAGGGATGTTACAGCAGCTTCTGTAACTGACCAGGAATTGAGACAGACTTTGAGAAAAGCCACTGTAAAATAAGTGGTAGGTAATTTATTCTGAGAGTTCATCTGCATGAGATGTTACCTCTGCAGAAAAGGAGCTGTAAATCCACAGCAGCTTCACACTCAGTAATCCAGGGGACACTTGCTCACATGGTTCAATTCACATCCAGGTTTACTATGGAGCAAATCTCCTGGGTGGAGGAGCTCTGGAGATTAGAATGGCAGCAATAAAAGTAATCATTGATCAGTTTTCAATGCCAAAGTACACTTTTAGAGTAAATTCTAAATAACAAAAGAATTGCTGGAGCTGAATGATCTTACAATAAACTTGCAAACAGAACTGATATAAATTCCTTTATATACTTATGTAAAAAATAGCATTTACTGTGCAGCCTGGATTTAAATAAAAGACAAATGGTGTATCAATAATATTTACTATATATTTACAAGTAATACTGTGATGAGACGAAGCAGTCAATGAACATTATGTTACAAAAATGAACCAGTCAGTACCTTTTACATTATCACATTCATGAACTGTTCTCTTACATGTCAAAGATCTATGATATGATCACGAGTTAACAGAGGACACAGACAAAAACCCTGGAACTGGAGACCATGCTGATGTGCTGAGTGCCTGCCAGCAAGGCACTGCAGGGGCATCAGCTCCAAGCACGTGAGCAGCACTGGTTTTATCCTGGTTTCAGCAGGATAAAACAGCCACGTGCTGCCCAGCTCCTCACTGCCCAGGGCCTTGGCTGGTGGGGCTCCACTGGCAACACAACCAACAAGCACAGCTGGAAGCACAGGGGGAGGTACCTGTACCTTACTGACAGCACACACACACTGCTACTGGAGGTGAGGCATGGCTGCTCACTGCCTTGGCAGACAGTGGAACCCCCATTTATATACACTGACACAAGAGCCTGCTGTTCCGTGGTGCTCTGAACATTATTTGGGATCAGCTGTCTGAATAGGAACTGCACCACTTTGTGTACCTGACATTTCTTGTAGCTAATCAAGCTGCAATGAGAAATTTTATACTCTTTACATATTGCTTGAGAAATGGTAACATTACACTGCTTAAGTGGTTTTAAATCACTTGAAAACTGCAAGTTTTATATAATCATACCATCACTTCCTTAAGTTGGCAGGATAAATCTATGCAAGTGAAATATTGGCAAAACAATCAATATTAAAAAATGAAAATTAGAGCTTAAAAATCATCAGCTAGCCAAGATATGAATTCTAAGCTGCTCCCTCCCTTCCTGTATCTGCTCCCAGAATAAAACTTTACAGGGACCAAGAGGGAATGAAGTGACACTTTGCCTTTGTTAATCCAGTAAGTAAAGCAGATGTAGGTTCAAGTATTTAATTGCATACAGCACTAATAAATAGAAGTAAACAACCAGGACGAGAATAACATTGTAGTTAAAGTACTGCAGAGAACCCTTGTTTCTGAGTGAGCACCGTTACATTATTTGGAAACTCCCCAAGGCTAAAAAGAAGGGGAATATTGTTAGTGAGAAATGCTCTCAGAGCAGATGACATGCAAGCCTACAGAGGATGTTACCAAGTTGGGCTGAATTGTTCAGGGGGTTTTCCTGCAAGTGTTAGAGAGCATCACCTGTAGTTTATGTCTACATCACAGTTTTTGCTCTGCATATAACCAGAGCAAAATGTTTCATCTATGTTCTCAGTTCCCTCACCCTGAGGGCCACACACACACCATCCCAAAGTAAAACACTGGTGTTTGGTTACAAAACTATATGCAGTACATTTCTGAACACATCTCCTTCACTCTAAGGCCATGTGTTCATTTAAAGACATTCTTATCAATCACAAGCCTCCCCTAGAATTGCTTAAGATCCAATAGAAAAGCAAATATACAAATATCAGAAGTGCTGATCCTGAGATGAAGTATGGGAAATTCTGGTCCAGTTTGATCCTTATTGAAACTTCTGTTTCAGCTTCTTCTGGAACAGAGCTGGTAGGATGGAGAGGATGGCTAGAATCATGAGGACAAAAACAGAGTTCCAGGAAACAGCTTCCCCTGCTGTTGTAAGCTGGTACAGCGTTGTTCCTGCCTTAATGGCTACAAAAGATGGTGGTGCTACACCTGGAGCAAGGAAAGGATGAAAAAATAGCTTGTTAGGGTAAAAAACACTTCCAAATTAGTCATCCCAATTTTAATACCAGAACGTTGAGATTTTGTTGTCTTGTACTTTTTTATTAAAAGGGGGCTGCAAATACAGAATTCAAAGACAAAAAACCTTTATCCAAAAAATTTGTTTTAAGCCATTCTTAGTATTTTTAATGCAAACTCAAATACAGGAGACTAAGGAAATAATCTCTGCTCTTTAGATTCTCCAGATTTCAAGCTGTCTCTTTACAAACTGACTTTTCATAAAGGAAAAATAATAAACTTTTTCATAAAGTTCATAAAGGAAAAATACTGGATTGTTTCCTAATCAGATTAAAAAGTATGTGCAAAAACATACCAAAAAGCACGATAAAATTAAAAATTAAAACAGCTATAGTGTATGCCTCTTCTTCTGGCCACCCCAAACTGTGGCTCACTAGCCACAATTCTTACCTAGGAAAGTGCCAATGAAAAACACTTTCAATGGCACGTTGATTACAGGAGATGTGATATTGATAAACCAGTTGGGGAGGAAAGGTGTTATTCTCAAAAATATTATGTAGTTAATCAGATGTTCTCTATGTCGTTCAACCTGCCAAAACAAAACCAAACAAACAAAACTTTGGTTAAAAAAATCTCTGCCTTGAAAATACACAACCATAGAGGTTTCAAGAGTTTTTTCCCCTATATTTGGTAGACATTTACATGTTGCAAACATAAAAATCAGTTAAAAATGTGTGATGTGGGGAAGAGAGCCCAGTGAGTCACCTGTTAAACACACTGAGATCAGCCTGTTAAATACATCAGATCATGGGAATAGCAGTGTGTGGCAGAGCAGCGATGTGTCTGACTGACTCAGCCAGCTCAGGCAGCAAAGCAGTCACAGGCAGGGCCACAGCCCAGCCAGCACTGCCAGCCTGCCACCCCACTCCTCAAGCAATGAAGTTTGTTCCTCAAGCCGTTCTGTCCTAACTTGCGATCGAGCCTGAAACACAGCGACATTCCTCAGCTGGAAACTCAGCCAGTCACAGCTCTGAACTCCATGAGGTGGCTGCTCCAGCACAGCTCCAAAGCCAGAGGTCACAGTGCCCAGCATGAATCCTCACCCAGGAGCAACAACAGCCCCAACTTCATTTACAGTCCTAACGATGTGCTCAGGTCTAGCCCAGCTCCTCACACCAATGCTACAACAAAGCAAGCCCCTCTCCTTCAGCCCATCTCAGCCCTTTCAGACAGCAAGTGCAACTGCAGCCAAGCTGCAAGGACAGCTGAGCATCCACAATTCTGGCCTAGCCTGGCACACCTGCACTCAGCTTAAGCCTCAGCCAGTTGAAAACAAACCTGGTCTGATTGCAATTCCACCTGAACTCTCACATGGCAGCTCATCCCAGTCACAACCCCGTTTTTCAGCTTTAGTCAAATTTAGATTTTACCGTAACATCAAAATCAGGAGCACCGTGGGTTTTTTAAACCTTAATAAAGGACAATATTTACATGTTGACTAATGCTGTATATAAAATGCCTTAACCTCAATATGCCAGCATGATAAGCATGACACAGTCCAATTAACCTGGAAACACTGAGATATGAGCTGCACATGCAATTTTAAATCACATATTCAGTTCCACTAACAGCAACAGTAACCATGTGCTACTCAGAATAGCCTCAAGATTATAGTGCAATGTTAAGATTTACTAGGGTCAAGAGTCAAAGTGCTGCTGTAAAATCTAACAAGGTCAATTGTGCCAGACACACCTCCATATCTTATTCAATGAGGAACAAGCTTGAAGCATTTTTATGTGATTAAAAAAAAATCTTGAACAGAGTACATGTGCTTCATACTTGCAATAAAAAAATTTGTTCAAATGTTTCAGAGTATCAATTAAAGACAGATAAGGTCAAGTACAGCTCACACTGTATTTCTGTACTGCAAGACCTTTAGGTTCACCTCAACTCACAATCAAGATCTGCTGAAACTAATGTAACCAGATACTCTAAGAAAAATTTCTAAATGCTCCAACTACAATAACATGTTCAAATTAAGGTTTTTCAAGCAGACATCCAGCTACAGGTTCCTCCAACACAAAAACACAAACCCAGCTTTCATTAGTGCTAATGCTTAGAGAGCAATTACTTGAAATGACCTGAAACTGGAGAGATTTCCTGTTGACACTAGATAAACCAGGGGGGTGATCAGCTGCAAACACTTTCTAGGTAAGAACAACTTTCTCATGGGAAATACCCTAAAATCAGGAATGCTCCAGAATCCCTTCTGTATAACTGCATACACGAGCACAAGACCTCCCAGTTTTCCACACTACTCCATGGCACATTTTGTACAATAAGTTCCAGCACCTCTAGAAACCTTACCTGTTCTGACCATTTGACTGCTTTTTCTGTTAAATATCTGTACACAACGGGACGCCCCACTAGGTATGACAGCATGTAGCAGAATGAAGCCCCAAGTCCTGAGCACTGGAAAAAAAAAAAAAAAAACAGACAAAAAATGAGCAGAAACTCTACTCAATGTCAGCCTTGTGTCTGTATTAACTACCCTGCCTGCCTAGAGCAGGTGCCCATGCAGCCCTCCATTAGGGCTCTCCAGCAGTATGGACTCACTCCCTAAGAATGCTGTTGACCCAAGACAGTTTATTTCCAAGGCATTTCAATCAATCTCAACACTCAAAGCAGACAACATTGATTACTTATCAGTTAATACTGAGTGCTTCTGCAGTTTTAAGACTTTGAACAGTGAAAGCTTTGCAAATAAGAAGCACAATGCCATTAAACACATTCAAACATGAAAACTGAACAGGGTCCTCCCTACCTTCTCAATACTTAAGGCTCGCTATCATTGCATCCTTTGCCCATGACATATTTTAAAGCTTGTTGATAACATACATTTCAAATCTTAAACTAAGCTTCTTGCATATTTAATCCAGTTAAAAAACAGATGTATTTTGCAGTGTGACAAGAAAACCACAGTAATTGTGTAGTGAAATTACAACTGGGTTTTGGCAGATGCTAAACAAATTTCGAGTATGGGAAACTCTGCGTGATTGACACTCCAATGTCTTCATTATAAAGCAAACCTGGAGGAACAGCTCAGTGGTGTGGATCACCACCCAGTGCTACAGTGAATTTTTGTGTAATGCCACCCCTGCAGCAGAGCTGAGTAAGAACTCAATAGTTATCAAAAACTGAAGTGTATGCCAGTCTCAGACTGATCATTTCCAGCAGCAAACTGCTCAGGTGCATGGCTGTATTCCAAACAGATAGAAATACATGCCCTCATGAACTACTTGCCATACTTACCAAACAAACAAGAAATAAGGCCAGTGGGAAGGGATAAAGAAACCCTGACAGGATACTGAGGAATATAGACCCAGGAATAGCAAATGTTTGCAAGCTGGATGTATCTTAGTTAAGGAAAAACACATTTCTAAAAAGCTACATGCTGCTTAGTTTTGTAAGCAGTCAGGATACATTCTACAATCAGAAAAAGCATAAACAGGCAGGGCCTCTCAAGATCCTTACTTCAACAAACCTCTTGTAGAGTAGCACAAGAACTCAAGCAAGAGCAGCAAGGTGCAGATCCATCACTACACATACAAAGAATAAGTGACCAAGTAACAAAAGCTGACTGCATTTTTCTTTGTCTGGGCTACAACTGCCCCAGAGGATTTACTGTGACCTCCAGGAAACACTTACTCTGATTTTACCCTGTTGACTGGAGATGTGCAGTTCCAGACACTCTCCCTGGGAAGCTCACAGGCCTGTCTGAGCCCATAGGCACAGGTTTCATGGAAGACTGAAATGGATGAAGGCAGCTATTCCTTCCTTACAAACAGGCTTGGGGGAGTCACCAACTACAATAGCTGATCACTAATTTCAGTCAGAAATGTTTTAAAAGGCAAAAATTAGGTTTCTGCAGCATAAGCAAGCAGGTTGTTGGACTTAAGGCTTGCTAGGCATACTTGAGACTGTGATGTATTGCCCACTTTGGATAGAAACGTTATAAAGCAAGAAAACCCTGTACGCTATTTTACGCAAGGTGAACTGACTGAAATATTAAAAAGCCCAATGATTTTCCTGAGTGCATTCCAGCCAGAACAGCTTTTGCTAAGCTGTGTCAAGGTTCAGTTACCCATGCCTGGAAACTGAGCACAGCCTGCTGCTGAGACAGTAAAGGTCACCACAGCTAGAACTGCTAGAGCAGCTCAATACAGAGCCACTGTATTCTACTCCTTGTTAATATATAAACTAACATTTTCATTTTCTTCCTAGATCTATAATTTGGGAAATATTAAATACTTTTTGTGGAATACTCTGAAAGAATGAGCTGAAGGATAATTACTAATGGCACATTCAGTGCTGACTCTCCTGAGTTACAAAAGGCTCCTGCATTAAAACTGTGACACAAACCTCTTGTACAGCTTTAAAGTTCTTAACCTTTAGTTAAGTGTTCCAGTTCAGAGTGTGCTTAATGATTAATTAATATATTCAGCACTCAGGAAAAAGAAGTCAACACAATTGTGTCTCCTTGGTCAGAAAGTACTTCAGAAATTTGCTTCTCTAAAAGAAAACAGATTTGGTTTTGTGAATTTGGGCAGTGGAGGGATGAAAGATGGCTCAAAATATTTTCCTTCAGAAATATTGCTAAATACTCTATACATTACCCTTTTGTGGAAATGCCTTTGAATGTCTTAAGGAAGAGTAAAGCAGTAGTCTCAGTTTTCTTTTAGAGCAAACAGTAATTTCTATCTCAAAATTTACTTTATTTTAAAGGTTATAGTAACATTAAAGTAAGACCAAGCCTAATGCACAGAGAAAAGTTTATAAATTTCCAAGAGTTTAAAATATTTTTGTCTCTTTGTAGACACACTCCTAGGTATGTTAAACTTCATCCATGACCAATAATTTATCAAGTTGTATTTTTCATTTTCAAAGCAGCATGACTCCATCAGAACTGCCCTTTACACCAGAAAAAGGATACAAAACATATGTGGCAAAATAAGCCACTAACACTTGAACATAAAATGTGTCCTTGTATTTGGACAAGACTTTTCCCAAGGCCTTTGCATCATCCATATCTCTGGGAACCTTTATACATTCTCTTTCTTCTCTGAGGAGGAAAAAAAAAAAGCAGGAATGATGGAAATATAATCAAACAGTGTATTACAATTACTTACTGAACACAGAGATAATTAGATACACTACAACACTGAATTACAGCTTCAGCAAACAAACCATGATTATTGTTGTAATAATGTTCTCAGATGAACACCTAATATTTACAGTGTGGTTTATATTAGAAAATCCCCAATTTTAGGTATTTGCAAGCTGGGTTTTTTATTCAGTACAGTAATGTGCTTCTTTTCTAGGTTTTTTTTTTCTTACCAGGTACTGATGAAGAAGAAAAAATTGCGCAAGGCAACCCTTGGCACGTGAAAGCAGCAAAACTTCAGCCAAAACCAACTGCAGCTGCCTCAGAACAGCTGAAGTGCAGCAGGAGTGGCAGAACTTCACCTCACAAACAAATAAACGTTCTAAGGGCAAAATCTCATGTCACACCTTAATCTGGTGCAACCTGGGCAGCACACTTGAGTGTCTTTGCTCCCTCTGTATCAGCCTTAGGGATGGGCCCTTGCAAACTGACCTTGCTGAGCAAGTTCATCAGACAGAAATTTAACTAGTGAAAGTGGAAAAGAAAGCTGTCAGACAAGCAGGCTGAACCTGCCATCCCAACACAAGCACTGGCTGCAACAAGGAGAAAAAGAGAAGGCAAAGTTCAGCTAGGAGGGAAGGATTTCCCCTTTTGGTGACAGCCTCCAGTTTCACCAAGGCACAAGGAAGTTTCAGGTGAACTCAGCCCGAACCAAACACACTCTGCTCTCAGCTGAAGGTGGCCAAGAAGAGTCAATCCCCACTGATAATGTACCAGGGGTAACACCTCAGAACATGGGATCTCCACTGTGCAACAGAAACCTCAGATCAAGAACAATTCTCTGAGTTTATGTCAATTCCCCATGCAGGCTCCTCTACAGTCTGACACTGAAAATCAAATAAACTGATGAATTAAACTTTCATAACATACTTACTCACTAAGTTGTGGGAAATTTTTATATACCAGGAACATAAGGAAAGCAGCTGATAAGAAGATGGACACTAAAATAAGAAGTGATGTCCGAGCTGAACCACCTTCTGCAAGGGCTTTCCCTGAAATTAAACATGAAACAAAGTTAGAAAAAACCCCAGCAACAGCAAAGCAATGTCTCACAACTTACAACAGATTTCAAACTTATCCTTTAAGGGAATATTACAGTAAACTCTCTGTAGACATCTCTCAACCAATGCTTTCATAACACACATTGCTCACATTCCCTGAAAGCTTTCAAACAACTTTGAAGTTTTTATGCTGGCAAACATTCCACAGAAGTCACCTTCTATGATCCATAATAATTTAACCCTCAATTAATAAATACATTTGTAAAGAGAAAAAACAGAGTTGAACAACGTAAGCCATACAAATGTTTTCCTTTTTGCCAGAAATCTTCTGCCAGTCTAATTAACTAGAGATTCAACTTGAAGTTAAATTTCCAGGATGTACAATGTAACTTTAAAACCTGCTCATTAACAAGTTTTGGGGTTTTTTTTTCCCCTGTAATGAAAGACTACCAGATACAGCCAGTTGGGTGAGACACACTCATTAGGAGGAAACCTACATAAACACACACATGCTAGCCTATGATATAAAGTGCTAGCTTGGGAATTACACATATTTTACACTCATGTGTATATATATACATAAGTGCTTATTAGCCTTTAAGTTCTAGTGTAGTGGAAGCAATGGGAGTACAGTAAGTGACACAATGACATTTTAGGCCTCTTCTGTATTTTAGATTTTTATCAAAATGACGTCATAAGTGCAAGACATTCATTAACACAAATGCAACTACACACACAAAGAATACGAACTGAAATGAACACCATGCTAAATACTCTCTGTATCCATACTGGGCTGTGTTCTGTACTAAACCACTCTCTCCTCAGGCACTTGGAGGCTCACCCAGCTTCACACCCAGGGTCACCTGGGGAACACTCCAAGAGCCGAGGCTGTGTTTTCCCTCGCAGATGCCGCTGGCACAACTACAATGCCAACACACAGCCCTCAAGTGGGTCACGCTGACTCCTCACTGTTGTGAAATGCAGCGACTGGATGACGAAACCCACGGAGCCCGCTGGGCGAGCTGGCAATTTTATCGGCTGGGAGGTTTTTTAAGCTTAAGGTCAGTGCGACCCCACAGGTGTGCGCCGGGTCAGCCGAGGCCAAAAGCAGCATCCACAAAGCAATTGCAAGCACGGAATCACAGGGCTGTCAGGCTGGAAGGGACCACAGTGGTCAGCGAGTGCAACCTCCCAGCTCAGGGTCATCCCAAGGAACAGGAGACTTCCACACAGAGGCAACCTGTTCCACTGCACTGTCACCGGGCTTATTCTCGCAACCCCTCCTCCAAGGAGCAAAATCAATTACAGATAAATAAACAAATAAGCAATTCATAGGGCAAGAAAGGAAAACTCAGCCCACTGCGCTTTCTGCCACTTCCACTCTCTGTACTCCAGGCGTGCCGGTAGTGGAATAACACCAACACACACACACAAATATATACATACAGACATGGAAGCACGCGTCTTCCCTCACGCAAGGAAAAGGGAAAGGGCTCGCTGCCCCGTTTCGGCCGCCGAGGGGCGGGAGCCGCCTCACCCCACACGCACCGTGAGGGCCCGGCCCGGCCCGGCCGCCCCAGTGCCCGCGCGGGACGGGGCCGGTGCCCGAGGCGCCGAGAGGCACCGACAGCCGCACCGGGCACCGGCCCGGGCACCGACACCCGTACCGGGCACCGTCCGATGCCAGGGCGAGGTCACCCCCGCTCCCGCCGCCCCGAGCCCCCGGCACCTTCCAGAAGCTGCCGCTGGTGCCTGGCGCTCTCCGCCGCCGCCGCCGCCTGGCAAGGCCCGCGCTCCGCCACCCTTCGCTGCGCCATGGCTCTGCGGCGCCCCGCGGCCCGGCGAGTCAGGGCCGGGGCAGGCCTCGGCGGCACCGGGAGCCGCGGGGAGCAGGAGGCGGGACCGACAGCACCGGGAGCCGCGGGCAGGAGGAGGAGAAGGAGGAGGCGGGACCGGCCGCTCCTCCTCTCCTCACCCCACCGGGTCGCGGCCGCGCGCCCGCCCCCGGCGCCTCACGGCGCATGCGCTTTTCTCGGGGCATTATGGCTTTGCTGTGGTGTGCGGGAGCACGTGTGGGGCTCCACGTCCTTGAAATGCGGCAGCGGGTTAGTGGCGGTAAATACGGTAACGCCGGGTTTTGGGCGTACCCGTGTGGGTATGTACGGTAACGGGAGTGCGCTCACTAGTGGTAAATACGGTGCGAGGCGGCGGGAGATTTCTCCCGGCTGCAGAGAAATCACATAAAGCCCAGGAATTTGGTTGGGAAAGGCCTCTGAGATCATCGTGTCCGCCCTGTGACCGAGCACCGCCGTGTTAACTAGACCATGGCACTGAGTGCCACGTCCAGTGGTTCCTTGAACACCTGCAGGGATGGTGACTCCACCACGTCCCTGGGCAGTTGTTCCAGTGTCTAATCACCTCTTCTGTGGAGAAATTCCTCCCGATGTCCAACCTGAACCTCCCCTGGCACACGAGGAGAAGTTCTACAGGCTGTGTTCTCTTGTCCTGTCGCTGGTTGCCGGGAAGAAGAACCCCACCCTCCTTTCCCGGGAATTGCAGAGCCATAGGTCCCGCCTGAGCCTCCTTTTTCCAGGCTCCCACCTCCCTCAGCCGCTCCCCACAGGACTTGCGCTCTAGACCCTTCCCCAGCTTCGTTTCCCTTCCCTGGACACACTGCAGCGCCGATCGTGCCACAGGGCAGCGGGAGACAGCCCGTCTGCGAGCCCCTTTTCCCTCGATAATGGCTTTACACCAGCCAAGGGAGCGGGATGTCCCCTCACGGAGCGGGATCTCTCCTCACGGAGCGGGATCTCTCCTCACGGAGCGGGATGTCCCCTCAGGGAGCGGGATGTCCCCTCACGGAGCGGGATGTCCCCTCAGGGAGCGGGATCTCTCCTCAGGGAGCGGGATCGCCCCTCACGGAGCGGGATCGCCCCTCAGGGAGCGGGATCTCCCCTCAGGGAGCGGGAGGCAGGAGCCCCTCGGCGCCTCTGGCGCTGGAGCAGTGCTGGGCTTCCAGGAAAAGGGGAGCCTTGTTGCGTTTGTTCTCTCGTTCGAAAAGAAAGCCTATTTGCCGGGAAGAAGGAAAATTCCTCTATCAGCCCCGGAATTTTCCTCACGTCCGTTCCTGTCAGTAAGAGCGCTTGAAATCCCGCAGAAAAGCCAGAGGGGCACGGCCCAGCGTTCCCAGATTCCGTGGCCTTCGAGCCCAATGGGACCTAGGAGCGCCTTTTCCTCTGAGACCTTCTGGCAGCGGCAGATCCCGGAGCCTTCCAAGCGCCCGGGCTGCACAGAGTGTTTGTTACAGGGACAGTTCTCCAGGGAGGACGCTGAGCCCTGCAGACAGCACATTGCACAACTTTCTGGGCTGATGGAGCTACTGTAGCTCCCCCTCGTCTCTTTCCCAGCTGTGTCTGCTTATAAATGTCCAACCTTTCTACAGGGTCTTCTGGAAAGGAAGCTCTCCTGGGAGAGCTGGACACTCGGATTTAACTTCAGCCCCGTTTCTCTGATTACTCCACCTTTACACCATGACTAAAGAGCTCTTAAATTGCTGACACAGGACCCAGCAGATCAGTTGTTTCACAGCAATGGTATTTACAGGTCGTGTTTCCCGAGATCACAGATGTTCCCAAAGCCACGAGGGAGATGCAGACCAGCACACAGCAGAGCTCTCCAAAGCGTGCCTTTATTGCTACGTGTACAAAACTCACTGATGTTACAGGAAGTTGATGATTCATTTAAGATGTAAATAGTCTAATATGCTATTACACAAGTGCAGTCCCTGCCAAATCTAGTGGCAGGAAATGATCCAAGCTATAAATTGTGGTCAGATTCCACATAAAGCTTCAAATCATGAGCAGATTCCATGGGAAGCTATAATTTACTCAGAATTTATTTCTTTTAGAATTAAATTAGTTAAAGTTATTTCATTAAATCATGTAATTAGCTCTTTTAATATTTGCAATTGATAATTCAGGAATTTAGTGCCCTGAGAAGCCAGTTAGGTCTGTGAACTTGCTGCTCTGGGCATTGATGCCAGATGAGGGAGTCCTTTGTTTTTTCAAACCCTTTCACTAGAAAATTGTACATACTAGCAAGATGGGAGTTGCTGACACTGTAGAAAATGGCACTTTCCCTCCTATTGTAAATGCACATCATGTTTGTAATCTCTTTTTGGTTGTTACTTCTGAAACTCCAGGTAAAATTATTCAAACACTGGGACTTCTTTCCTCTCTAACTAACTTCTGACAAATAGATACTAAACTGAAGAATGTTGGAAGCAAAATCAGAAACCAGATTATTATGCAGAGGAATCTTCACCAAGTCATCCTGAAACAGAAGAGGAAAGATTCAGACTGAAAGATATAAATAAAATAAGTACCACGGTTTAAAACTGTAGATGCTAAATGCTGCAAGGGCCATGTCTCATTTTGGTGAGGTGGATTGTTCATTCAGGGGGGTATCAATCCAGTTTGGTGTTGTTCAGGAGGCACTCAGAGCCAAGGAGCTGGGCAGAGCCTGCTCCAGGGGATGTCTGATTTCTAATTAACCTGCTCTGTGTTGTGTAGCCCTGTGTGTAACCCAGCTGCAGGGGAACTGACACACAGCCAAGCAACTTCTGATTCTTGCTGAACTCTCTGCAGTTCCCCTGCCCAAGACACCACTGTGAAATGCCCAACAAGCAATTTCAACAATATAGATTTGCTCTGTGTTTCCCCTTCCATTTAGTAGAAAGCACATGGCCTGCAGATGATTCCCAGGATGCTGATTCTGCAGGAAGCTCACAGTGTTAGGATATGTCTCATTAAAAATAGAGAAGATAACTCTAATAATCTCACTTTTAGGGAGCCCCAGCTCTCTGAATTGCTGCCAGAGTGAAATTTAAGGATTCATTAGCTAGATCACTTTGCAGTTGAGATGTACTGCACAAATTATATTTGTTAGACTGAACTAGCAGCAGACTTTTAAACTGTTCTTCCCTGTTCTTGGTTCCCCTTGCTGGGGGATACTGCTGTGTGAATGAGTTGTCTATTCCACCAAAGTTTGAAATTGCCAGCAGTGTTTAGTGTCTGCTGATAATTTGAACAGTCCCCTACAAAGATGTCCACACCTAACAAATGTCAGCAGAGCCTCTGCACTCACTCAGGAAAAAAGAAAGGACACGTCTGGGCAATGTTCTTTAGGGCTCACTCTGTAAATAAAATAATTCAGGAACTCTGTTTAGAAGATTAACTTCGATTTATTTACTGGAAAGAAGGCAAAGAATGAAAAATACTGCCATAGGTTATATCCTGTATGTGTTCAGAGGATAAAGAGTTTTGGTAGCTGGAACTCAATGAGTACCAAGGAAATTTTGGACACATGGTTGAGATCAGCACTGCCAGGAACAGCTTCACTCCACAGCACACCAGGAACCACAGCTAGGGACTGAAAACAGATTTACTCTCATTGTGTATAAAGCATCCCCTGTATATAATGTATAACTGAAGAAACAGCACAAAACCTGCCCTGTCTTTGGGGCATCCCCACCTGGCAGGGAACACACCCTGCAGAATGCTTTGTCCAGCACAGAAATGAGAGGAGGACCCCAGTCTCAGCTGGAGCTTGCTCAGTGACTTTACCAGTGGCAGCAGCACTCTCTGTACTTAGAGGCGAGAGACTGAATGGGCCAAAAGCTTTACATGAAATGGATTTTGGAATATACACCTTAGAGTATCTGTGAACCAAAAAGAAGAATGTTTTTCTGACCTGCTGGAAAGTAATGAAATAGATTGCCATCTGTCAGGGCAGCAGCTAAGTGGTCAGCTCCATGAAGTCCCTTCCTTCTGGTGGCTGGATGAAATGCTTTATTTCTGTCAGTCTGAAAGAGTTGTCTTCCCTCAGCACAGAAACTTGTGTTTGCCTCTTTTCTAAATCACTCCTAGATGCACTGACAGAGCCCATGGCACACAGCTGAGGCACTGACACTGCTGGTGCTTTGGGGACTGTCATGCTAATTGTCAGCAGGAGAAGGAGGATGAGACTGAGAGTGATCCTGCTCCTGAGAGCTTCTAGCTGGAAATGATACAAACCAGAAACATCAATCAACAATCAATCAAAACAACATCAATCAATCAAACATCAATCAAGCAAATCATATGTATAATTTCTTGAGAAGTGCAGATTCAGAACCCTTTTTCTCCTCTATTACTGCCTTATTTTTGACCACCACAAAGCAAACTGCATTGTTTTAACATTTTTATTTTGTATAAATATGGCAAGAAATTAAACCACAAACATTTATTGTCATTCTATCTAAATTCTCATTCAAACCAAATAAACCAGTGTGCTTGGAAGAGGGCTGGTGTGTTTTACTGAGCTCATACTTTGATCAGTTACAGTGAGGAGTCTGAGGATGGAACTGGAGAATAACCAGCTGCACAGGAGACAACTCGGGGTAGAATGCAAATGCACTGATCAAAATTAATAACAAATGTCACCAACAAGTGAGATAAACAGAAATGGGCACTTATTTGTAGCTGTTTGTGTGAATGAAGGATTAAAAATTTCTTGGAGACCGAAGGAGAGTTAATGAAAGCTTTTATTTATAAAAGTCAGTGCTCAAGGACAGAAGCTGAAAAAATTACTAAACAGCAAGTGAGAACAGATCTTGTATGCATTAAAGTGAGTTGAATCTGAGCTCAGGGATCATAAGTATTCAGATTTGTTTCTCTCCTGGTATTTTTTTATAGCAGGTATGTTTCTTAAGTCCTATTGTCCATTTTATGTACATTTTGGCTACCTACTGCACATATGTACAGACAATACACTGTACACAGATTAATGTACAAATGTACAAAGTGTAGATTTTTAACAGGGTGCACCTATTTTCACTCCTGCTTAATTACTTAGGAACACAGGAAACAGATAGCTATGATGTTTCTATTCCAAGTGGTAAAAATAAGAGCCAGATTCTTAATTCTGATGCACCTAATTAACAGTTAAT